AATTGTGAAGTAGCTTTGTAGCAACGTCATTTTATTAGCTGAGACATTTTTTCATTCTCCCCTGTGTTTCATAATTAGTTTGTCTTAGACTAAATATCGAAAAACTCCCGAACTAATACTAAAATCTGCGTGTTAATGAAAATTCTTCACAGTCTCCCAAAAGATCTACAATTCCTGTAACACAGAAGAATCAATGCATCATCCAAGGATGTCTACAGGTTGCCAAATTGTCCTGTTATTGATTAGCAAAAGCTTTCGTTAACTGGAGGAAGCCATGGACGGAAAAGGCATAAAAAGCACAGAAAGAAACTGATCGATTGAAACAGGTTCCTTAGTATCGTTAATGTGCAATTAACTTTTGATTTGCGATATTCTTTGTACTTGACAAGGATTTCTTGCACCACGTGAAATTTAAACGGAAAGGTTCGCAATATAGGAATCTGTGTCCAGAGGAGTATTCCACTGATATGACTTCTACTGTAGTCAGTATACGCAGATATCGTTTCAGAAACTATGCCTGTGGCGAAAATTATGCTTCATATATGAAAGCTTTTTAAGACGCAAGTTTCTGAGATTATATACAACGTACGCTGTGTTCAGTTTAACAAACCATACTCATTCCTTTCCTGTTTCTTTGATAAAGCGCAAGTTCCCCAGAACTATTACTTTGTGTAACAAACTCCCGAAACAATGCTTCCCTGAGAACTATAATTTTGGTCTCGAAATTCAGGTTCAACCGATATCTATTCTGCTCGTTCTGATAATACTCTCTTACACCCCCTCTCACTTACAATCCCACTCCTCTACCTTGAGTGGTTCTTGGGCATTGTATTGGATGACAAAACAGTAAATTAAAAAAAAAACGGATAAGTAGAAATTAACGATTAGTAAATGCCATAAAAGTTGTGAAATATATTTAGTATGTTAACGTATTGCAACGTGGTGTAATGGTTAACAAGCTTGTATCGCTAGATCAATTACGACTAATTGGTGAGTTCGATCTTCACTGGGTGCTCCATACGTTCAACATTGAACCACGTCTAAGTTACGTTTAGTAAATCTCTGGGCAATTCTTGTGGTGTAATGGTTAACAAGCTTGTCTCGCTAAATCAGTTACAACTAAGTAATGAGTTCGCGCCTCACTTGGTGCTCCATGCTCGGGGCCTTGTGTCACATCTAATCTACGCTAAGTAAATCGCTATTTGATATGTTAGTTTCTGAATTGAAGGAAATTTACCTGAAGTACCAGAATATTAAATATTAAATACAAACACGGTGGAGTGATTGATTACGGCTCAGACTGAGCAATTGGAGAACCGTGTTCGAATTCCAATCGAGTTCATTAGATTTACTTATGTGTTAATACCTTCTCTTCTATGAAGCTATGGGTAAATAGCAGGACAGACTAAGCTCTAGAGCATTGGTTGGCAGCCAGTCTAGGAAAAGGAAAACTGAACACAAATATATATATATATAACTCCACCGAATTTCAAATTAATTTCTTCGTAGATTGTTTAAACATTTAGATATTTATCAAACCTTAACCTCCCAAATATGCACGTTAAAGTAATGCGAATTAACAGCGTCTAAAAATTTGAATGAAACCTGTCGTGTAATTGATTGGGGTTGTTGTAACTTCTTCCGTTAATGTCGTTCTTATCATTCAACCCTTAGCCATCTATATCTAAAGACGAGACGCGTTAAATTTGAGCAACATCTATCCGACACACTGGGGTTAAAAATAGGAAATTGAAATGATACATATGACACACTCATATCCTCTCTCCCACCTCACTTTGTTAATTTTACGTATACTTGATGAGATCCGTCAAAAACGTGTGAATTTCTTTTCATTTCAGCTTTTGGAAGTAAAGTCTGATGATCCAGAACCCTGTTAAAGGGGTTATGATGAAATAGCTTATTACATGGAATCTTAACGTGGTCTGTTTTATATATATATATATATATATATAACCTGGGAGCTGAAGCAGAAGGGCATGGACAGCGCAATAGAAACAATTCGGTTGCTGGACCATCTCCTTCAGCTGCTGTAAGAAAGCTTGCCTTTCTTGTCGGCTATAAATATGGCCTAACGTGGCTATTAATCTAATTAAGAATGACTCGAACACAATCAAGTGTTATCGACATGTCTCCTGATTTTAATACCAGTACCTTAGCCACCCATATTCTCCATGGATTCATTCTCTAACCAGTTATGCTACTATCATCGCCACTGAACGGGGCCTCGTTTGTTCTAGCGAAAATCTAGACATCTGTAAACGGATACAAGTTTTCATTCAAATGTTCACAGTCCTCGGAGTCGATGAGTTTTGTTCAGATGAGGCTCGAGTGGCCAGCCAGGAGTCCTGACTTAACACCCTGTAACTTTTTTTCTTTGGGGTTGGTTAAAGGAGCAATTCTGCTATACCAACCCAAGAATTTGGAAGAACTTGAAGGGCGAATACAAGAAGATATGTCTTCCATACCACAAGAGTTCCTGGTGAAATCAGCTGACGCGATTCCTGGGCGGCTCAAGAACCTGGGAGCAAAATCTCGTGTCCATATCGAATTTTAAATAAAACCTTTTCCTCTCGTATTCATTTCTTGTAAAAATTATAGTTAATAAATAAATTATAAGTACTTTAAAAATGGGAGTTACTTTTTTTACTGTAGATGAACAATTCGACTAGAAAATTTGAAAATAAATACAATGTATCTATATACAAATTAGAGACATGTCATAATAGATCATTCCATCTTAAATAAATCAACAATCTTTTGCGATAATTTTTTTACTTGAGATTTTCCTTTCTAAAAAGTTGAATAACGCATTCAACATTATGGATAAAAAAAAATGGTGAATTTTGTATAGTGTTTTTCTTTTCTTTTTTAAGGCTTAACATGAGCAAAACAAATTCAAGGATTTGGACGAAAGTCCCCACAATGACGTCAAAATCTGTGAAAAATTATTTATCCTTTAATAATCAGTTGTGCTTAGCTTAATTTGTTACGTATATAAATGTAGGTAGAAGAAAAAACAAATGCTGAGAGAGAGAGAGAGGGTCACAAAGCCCTTGGTTGATAGTAAGCACTGGCCCTGGGGACATATAATTTTATTTTCTTATAAGGTTTTCTCAAGAACTCATTTTTTTCCTTGTATTTGACTCTGAAAATTGTTTCCAATGTGCTAATTCTCTTCCGTTCCGTCAAGTACATGTCTATCATTCTTTCCCCAACTTGTTTACAAAATTTGCCCCGCTAAAACCTATGAGCCAAGAGTTGGTAATCGAGTTCTAGGGATTTGACAAATTTGTCTTGGGGCACAAAAACGAATCTATTTTGGACTAAGATAATGAAAATTCTATCTTCAAAGTGACGAGACACAAGTAACAATTTCTTTCACCAAGATGATTGTAGAAATATACTTTCTCTTCTTTAGCAGATTAAAAAAAAGAAAAGAAAAAGAAAAGAGAAATGTTTGAGTAATTTAATGCCGTTGATAAGATTCCAAGAATTACACAGACGAGTATCTTCACCTTCATTACTCATATCCAAATTTTTCAACTGATATGTCTTTTAATCTATCGCCTACTGTCTGATCATCTGATATGGAACCGTAGTAAAATTGTAGGCTTGTACATAACATGAGAAACAAGACATACATATCCAATTCCACACATGATTTTGTAACCAGCCAGAAGTTACATATTCTTAGAGGATATCTCTCCCCTCACACACACACATATATATATATATATATATATTAATGCGGAAAAAAAAACATTTTAAATCGATTAATTTATAATATTATGCTCTGTAAATTTACATTGAGCACTATTTTGTAAAAACAAAAATATCTATAAGAACACCGGATTATATATCTTACTGTTCTTTCTTTTCATATATATATATATATATATATATATATATATGAGTGTGTGTGCCTTTGTCCGCGCGCGCGCGTGTCACAATAAGCGTGGATAATAGAATGACAAAATGAAAATAAAATGTAAAATCGTAATCGATGTTCTTTGCATTTCTTTAGTTCCCGCTATATTCAGGGTGACTGAAATGTAACTCCCTATTTTATTTCTGATGGGCTCTCCCGTCTTGTAAAAATTATAGCCAGACGGTAGAGTCCATCATACTCTATAGGGAGATAATTTTCAATCACCCTGTATAAGAATGATGCAATTAATAAAGTTCTTTCGAAAGACAAAACATGTAACGTAGGATTCTCAATTTCAATTCTGTTATTCAATTACAAATATATATATATATGCAAACTTGTATGTAAGTTGCATACAAACGTTCCCAGCATCGTCTTTGAAAACTGAATAACGAATTGTAGAAATATATATATATATATATATATATATATATATATATATATGCCGTTGTAGAGTTAAATACATGAATATTCTTTGATATATTTTACACATTTTCGTGTCAGGAATATATATATATATATATATATATATATATATATATATATATATATATATTCTGACGAGATATTCTCTACAATATATCTAAGAGCATTTACCCATTTATCTCTCTCCCGTGTGTGTGTGTGTGTGTGTATATATATATTCACCTTTGTTATTTGTGTCTGTGTGTGTTAATTGAATATTGATTACATAGAAACATTTGATTGAAAATAAATTTATGTCTAAATTTCTTACTATAATAATAATTATAATAATAATTGTTGTTATAATATATGCGGTACGGGTGTGTGTGTGTGTGTGTGTGTGTGTGTGTGTGTGTGTGTGTGTGTGTGTGTGTGTGTGTGTGTGTGTGCGCGCGCGCGCGCGCAATTCCGTGTCTGTTATGTGAGTCTCTCTACTGAATTAACAGACCGGAGTACGTCACGGATGCCTAGAGTTGGGTAAAAATGCAGTCGGTCCTGCGGAGAGGGTAGAAGTGTGTGTGGTGTATTGGTTGGGGTGGAGGCTAGATAAAGTGAGGGTCAAACGTAGTAGTTGCAGTCACATGACAGCAAAGAGAGACTGGCCACCTTCTTCGCTTTCGCATTTGCAACAAGTGGGAAAGTAAATGTATAGTGAAAAAATCATTGGATAGAAAGGGAAAGAGGTTTGAAAGAAGACATTGAAGAAATAGAAAGGAAGACAAAATATGAGACAAAAGGAAAGAGACAGAGAAACCGTAGTGTGAGAGAAATAAACAAAAGAAAAGGAAGGCGAGAATAGAAGATAAGCAAGAGAAGATATGAAAAGAATATGAGAATGAAGAGAGATTTTGAGAGAAAAAAAAACAAGAGAAAGGACGAAAGAATATGAGAAACGAGAGAGAGAGAGGAAGAAAGAATATGAGAAACAAAAGAGAGAGAAGAAAGAATATGAGAAACAAAAGAGAGAGAAGAAAGAATATGAGAAACAAAAGAGAGAGAGAGGGTGAGAGAATAGGAGACAAAAGAGAGAGAGAGGGTGAGAGAATAGGAGACAAAAGAGAGAGAGAGGGCGAGAGTATACGAGACAAAAGAGAGAGAGAGGGCGAGAGTATACGAGACAAAAGAGAGAGAGAGGGCGAGAGTATACGAGACAAAAGAGAGAGAGAGAGAGAGGGTGAGAATATACGAGACAAAAGAGAGAGAGAGAGAGAGGGTGAGAATATACGAGACAAAAGAGAGAGAGAGGGTGAGAGTATACGAGACAAAAGAGAGAGAGGGTGAGAGGTATACGAGACAAAAAGAGAGAGAGAGGGTGAGAGTATACGAGACAAAAGAGAGAGAGAGGGTGAGAGTATACGAGACAAAAGAGAGAGAGAGCGTGAGAGTATACGAGACAAAAGAGAGAGAGAGCGTGAGAGTATACGAGACAAAAGAGAGAGAGGGTGAGAGTATACGAGACAAAAGAGAGAGAGGGTGAGAGTATACGAGACAAAAGAGAGAGAGGGTGAGAGAGGGCGAGAATATACGAGACAAAAGAGAGAGAGAGAGGGCGAGAATATACGAGACAAAAGAGAGAGAGAGCGTGAGAGTATACGAGACAAGAGAGAGAGAGAGAGAGAGAGAGAGGGCGAGAATATACGAGACAAAAGAGAGAGAGTGAGAGAATAGAAACGAGAGCGAATAATTGAAGAAATGAAAAGACTATGGGCGAGAGTGGAAGAGAAACAAGAGAGCAGACGAGAGAGAGAGAGAAAGATGAATGAATCATAGGACCAAATGTATATATGACTTCTGTGAAAGGAGTCACACACACATCTCTCTCTCTCTCTCTATATATATATATATATGTGCTGCAGTTTTATAGATTTGTATTAAACTCGCTTACAGACTAAATCGCTTGTAAAAAAGTGCACATTATATATATATATATATATATATATATATATATATATATATATATATATATATATAAATATGTAAAAATGTACGTATACTTCCTTTTATTTACGTTCGAAGACATGAATATATGTGTACGTATCCACAGGAACATTAAAGAATACTGGAATTATCTGATATTTCAAGAATATCAAGTAATTTCTTTTATTGCTACTAACATCCAACTCTAGATGAATATAGTAAATGCTTCAGATATACTATGTGAAGGGATAAATAAAGAAATGCCTGCCTACATATAAATTTATTGACGAATGCAACAGAAATTAACATACAAAAGTTTTCAACTCGGAATAAAAATTGCTGTTTACAATTTTGACGGCTACTAATAGTTCGCGTAGACATTGTTCTTGTCACTCATCGTGCGTGGCATGCCTTGATTGGTCAGCAGAAATAATTTCCGCCGACCAATCCGAGCACGCCACGCACAATGACCGACCATTTTACAACGTCTACGTGTACTTTGAATGACCATTGAAGATCTGTTACATGGGAAAGTTTTTGGCACAGTCGAAGACTAAGTCGACCTCTCGAGAATTCTAAGATGATTCTAATCACAGAACGGGATAATGGAATTTTGCCAACGTACTGAAGATCGCTATGAATACGATCAGAGTTACCATTCGAAAATGACAGAAACAGTGTCCGATTATCTATATATATTTTTTAAGCAATTTAACCCAAACAAAGCGATAATGCCACTAAGACGGAAGGGGTTACTGAAAATGAAAGAGAATGAAAAGACTTTAGAAGGAACTAGAAACCCAATCCCAAAAAGGAAGCAAGGGATAAATCTCTTATTATAGTTATTCGGTCGAGCTAGCTCGAACATTCATGAATCTATCACGCCAACCATCACGGTCCTGCATCAAGGTCAGAATGTCATTAAGGTGGTATTATGTGTCACAACATTCCGGTCAATGTAAGAGATTGCTGGACGACCAACCCGTTTTGCTCCATGGCTTGGTATCCAGGGCAGTAGATCACTCACAGGTTCTTGTTTTGTTCGCCAGCAGTGCCCTTCAGAGCTTAGGATTGTAGAAATATCAGCGATGGGCCTATAGAGCTGTAATTTAGTTGGATGTTGTCGCCAAGAGATGTTAAGTATAGCTCTCAGCATCCGAGTGCATCTCCGATCAAGCATAAAATCTAGAGTTTTAGTTAATTCCCAAGAAGTGGCACGGTAGATTAAAATCGCTTCTACAGTGGCTCAAAAGAATCTCCGTTTGAGGTTGTCTGGAGGATTAGATTATCAGATTACATCCATTATATTCAAGGCGGCTCAGGCGTTAGATATGCAAATGTTCACATCATTTTCAGTATAATTTATTTCGCTTCCAAGGTATGTAAAAGATATGACAGATTTGATTGATTCGGCTGAGACAGTTTGTATTGAGCCTTGCTGGCTGAAGACTACGAATTCAGTTTAGAGTTCAGTATCGTAAGCAGCCTTTTCCAGATGCTGTAGGAAAGCTGTGACATTGGTAATGGTGTCAGTAGTGATAGCTGAGTCATCTGCATAGTCAGTATCGGTCAGCTATTTTGAAGGATATCGACTTGAGAGAGAACTTCAGAAGGCGCGAGGTTACCAGGTAGGACTCCTCTGTTGAAACTCAAGTACATGATGGCTCGTCTGCAATTTTCTTATCAGGATTTCGAGAAGACTACATTGTTCTGGGAGATTATTTTCAAACTATTTAATAGGGGCAATTCAAATTACTTCTGATTCTCAAAACAACATACCGAAAGTTAAATACGGTGGTAGAAATTGTTTTTCGTCCATTGATAACAGACGCACGATATATTGAAAAAAAATTGCAAAATACCGAAGAACAATATGCCTCCATCTGTTAAACTGCTGCGAGATGGGATTTTTTTTCAGTCAGAGAGCGATCCCATATATATTCTTCTATGTGACGTGTTCCTTTAGGATGTGGTCGTTCATGGCTCTCCACAGCTTTCTATCTTTTTGGCTCTGATCAATATTTGGCTTTTTACTATCCCTCTCCATCCTCTTCTGCTATCCATTTACACAAGCTCTTTGGGTATGTTTTTCTCTTTCTGATATGTCTTGGGAGTGTCAAATTTCCCAAACCTTTCTTTTTTTTTTTTACAGTAGTCTTCACCCTCTACAAGGCCCGGGGACTACTCGAGGTAGAGGTTTACGGAGTAAGAGGCACAGCTTATGCGGATATATGTTGAAGATATGGAGGCATATTGTTCAACTCTAGACTTGAACAGGTTAAGAATGACGTGATCATGGGAAGAAACTGTTTAAGAGCAACTTATATTACATCAGAGGAATACGAATGGAATGAAGGTGGTTTGCTACAATGTGCGCGGTATGCTGTGTCTTAACCGTGATAGAACTAAGGAGTGTATTTCCTCTGAACACTTTCCATGGAAATAGCGATAAAACAGCGAGAGGCTTGCGACGTCTCGTCTTTGAGAAAAAGGACTGCAGAGTGGAAAATAATTGGTCGCCCACAAGGAAGAGGAGACGCTTTTGGACCCTATCAAGAGTGGAAAGTGAAGACTGTACAGCTCCCGCCCATATTCCATTTTCGGCCTGATCTGGCTCTTATAAGAATAGAGTATAACAGGAGGATTGAGGTACTTGCTGGAGTGGTACAGGGCACCGACCACCTTTTCCAGTATCTTTACTGATTGATCGTATGTACGAGTTCCAATTTAGGCCAAGAGGCGCTCAAGACACGGGCATTTCTGAGGGAACACCTGTTTCTATGTATGTGCGTCCACTTTGTTGCTCAGATGTTCCATCTATGATAATCTCAGCATATGTAGAACCAAATCTACTATTTCAGTTACCCTCTTCCAATGTAAGAGAATTGTCCTGCATCCATTGCCATATAAGAGGACTGATATTATATAGCAGTTCACCACTCTTTCCTTTGTTTCTAATGAAATTTTCCTAGTGATGTGGCGGCCTAGTCATTCGCCTGACCTAAATCCTACAGAACATCTGTGGAAGGAGCTTAAATTTAGCGTTCATGAGAAGAACCCGCAAAACTTGAGGGAACTGAAGGAGATTTGTCAACAAGAGTGAGATAGAAGTGGTGTTCATTTCTGTGAAAAGCAAGAAGTTACATCAAATTTTCCAGATGTCTGACAGCATTCATATCAAATAATGGATATGTCTTTAAGTAGTAAATGCTTTTTATTGATATGCGTCGAAAATAATTTTTTTACAGCTGTATTGGTTAATAAAGTTATGTTGGCAGAAACATTTCTTTGTTTTCTGTTATAGTTTTTCTATATTTCAGGTTCATTATATTCGACTCAAATATCACGTCAGTTGGCATTTAAGGAGTTTTCTTAATTCTGCCTTATTTTTTATTACTATTAAGGGCTTACGGCCATATCACGTTGAAAGACCTCATATGATCACCGAAGTTAAGCAACGTCAATCTTGGTCAGTAACTAGATGGGTGGCCGCTTAGGAATAACAGGCGCTGTAACTTGGATAGGCTGGTGGTGTAATGGATAAGGGATTGGAATTGGGAATCGGAGAGCAGAGTTCCAATTCCAGTCGGGTTCGTTATATTCACTTCTGCGCAAATACTCTTCGGAAAGGTCTGATGCCACTCTCCCTCCACCAACTATGGATGAATTAGTAAAGAAAGTTATGAATCTACCTCTTCTCCCCAACTCTGGGTTAATTATTAAAATTTCTATCATTAAAAATCACCATCTCAACAAACAATTACAATATTAAAATATTTTCTGTTTTAAATAGCCTGCATAAGCCGTAAAAACATGTTACAGTTTTTTGGGTATATACTATATATATATATAGTCTACCAATAGAAGATTAACCAATCAGGAGCCACAGAACACTGTATCCGTCGTGTATAAAGGCGGCCATCTTTGTTTTTCCTACCGGAAGGACCAGAGCCAACTTGTCAGGCGAACACGACAGAAGGAAGAACTACACTCTGCTGTGATATCCACAGGGAACCTGAACTACGCTTTCCTACTGTCTCCGAAATATTCACTACCAACCTATGGATTCTATACTCGAAGACGACCGTCATGAAAATGTCTAACAAAACATACTATTACTAAAACATTACTATGAAATTTATAATTAGTTGGCACATATGTGTGGATAAACTTCCTTATTATTTTTTAAAACAGTGAAATTAATGTTTACCATAGAAATACAATGCTATAGGACTGCATTATAATTTATGTCAATTATAAATGAAATGAAAGGTAAATTATTCTGTTACAGAAAAGTGTTGCTTAGAATTTTGCTACAAAAATATGATTTTACTATAGCAGTGCAATAAAAGTAGTCACAGAAAGTAATTAGGAATTAAAGTTACTAACAAATTAGAGACATTATATGTATAATGTTCAAACAAATGTTAGCTGTGAAAGCAAAGGGCTATTCATTGCGAACAATTTCTAGATGTTAATGAGGGTAACAAAATGAAACAAATGCCGAGGACGGCGTAAGCTAGAATTTTCGAGAAGTTTATTTTTGATTAGTATATTGCGCTCAAAGAAGTTCTAAATTTCTTCCCTTCATCACCCACCAACAGAGCATAAATATAACATTTTTACGTCGAAGAGTCGCCATAGTTCTGCTTTCTTTGGGTTAAGTCAACATGCGACCCCGTCATTTCATTTCTATCCATTAGAAATAATAGACGCGGTGTTATGTTGACAACTTTTCAATAATAAGCCGAGATTTGGTTCTAAAGCAAAACGATTCTCTTTAACTTCTGCTACCCACTCTGGTTTTTAAAAAAAATGATTTGGGAGGGAGAACAAAAAGGTTTTTTGAAAACTTCATAGCACGTTTAAATAAGTTTTAAGCTTGTATAATTCTTGATTACAATTCAATATTTAAAAAAATCTTTGATGTTAAAAAAAAAAAAGCTGTTAGAACTTGTTTTAAAACAAAATTATTTTGATAACCAGCAACTATTTTTTAGCCACCAATGTACAATGAAATCATAAAATACTCCTTGAGAATTTTATACCGTTCCAGGAAAGAAACTAGCTCTTGATTGCTAATCCTTTGTTTAAGCTAGTGTACAAAGTCAATATCTTGATTATGTCATTATTTTTTCCTGGTTATAGATGCTATCCATTTTTCTTGCAGCCGCTGTTGGAAGTCTTCAAGTGCTTTTTATTTCTTTTTTGTTATTTATAAATTCACCCCAATGCCGTATTGATCTAGCTAATCGTGAATCATTGTGAAGGATCTATGTAATATTTCTGATTGTTATTGCAATATTTTGTTAAAGTTGTTAAGCTCAAATATTTAACAATGCGATAAGAGAAATTTCTACGGAAATTTTAATGCCGTCCATCTCGACGTCAGCTTATTCGAGAAATTAAACCGTGACATTTTCACGTTTTAAAACTATTAGAATATAATTCATGATGTTGGAAAAATGGTCGGCTCCTTGTACCACTCCAGTAAGTACCTGACGCCACCTACTGAGTTTTATCTTTACAAAATTTAGATCAAACTAAAAATATAATACTGCAGCCATATCTGAGCTAGAGGTTCTTTTTTTTTTACAGTAAGTCCTGAGAACCACTCAAGACAGTGTTACGTTAAGTGGGCCGTAACGAAAGATAACAGCTAAATCTAGACTTGAACAGGTCAATATTATAGTGATCGGAGAAACGAAGAGAGTCATTGAGAGAGAAACGAAGAGAGTCATTGAGAGAGAAACGAAGAGCGTCAATGAGAGAGCAAAGAAAGGAAGAGACTCAAAAAGAAAAAAATGAACACTGTCAGAGAGAGAGAGAGAGAGAAAGGAAAAGATTCAAAGCGAAAGAAAAGAAAGAGTGATAAAGGGAGTGAGAAAGAAGATCGTGAGGGAAAGAACTAAGAGAATGAACAGAAATAAAAGAAGGAAAAGAAAAGAGGAATATTGAACGTCTTTTTTTTTTTTTTTTCGAGAGAGAGAGAGAGAGAGAAAGCAATATCATTTGACAAGCTATCTTAATCCTCATTGGGCGTTCCAAGCCTGAAATGTAACCTTGAAACCAGACATCGCCTCGTCTTAAATAATGCAAAAGCAAAAATAAGCAAGCAAGCAGTAATGAATTTTTTTTCTTTTTTTTTTAGAAATTGTCAGGAAAATAGGAAGAGGGATAACTTCAGAAAAAAAAGAAGGTCAGGTTAAAAGCTAATGTTTTGTAATGCGATGCGCTCCCATTAAGCCGTTAGCGGCAGCGTCGTCGAAAGGGTGAGGTAGTTGGCTCAGCTGATAATACGCAACTGTGACGGGGAATAATTAAAAACTAATTGCTTTCATTAGACGGAATGTTTTGCCGTTTGTACCAGGTTCCCAACGAACTGTGCGCCAATTTTCTGCCTTTCCCGTGAGGTGTCATATATATATATATATATATATATATATATATATATATATATATGAAACACACTGTTAATCCGAGTGCAATCACTTGTAGATTGTGGACAAAAGATATAAAACGGTGACCTACAGATTCTGAATTTATGCTCGTGAAATTCGACTATTTTCTTCTTTTCTGAATCCCCTTGGTAACATATTTTGCAAACATAGTTTTTTATTAATCTATTATCTTGGACATATAACTATATATTGCCGAAATGTCCGTCCGGCTTTTGCGTATGTATGTGCGTGCTTACAGTGTTTGTAAGATCGGAGGTCGCAGATTCCTCCTTCGTTTTTCTCGTGGGATGGGGTCATTTACAGTGCAGGTGCACGCTTATAATTTCAGCAATGAACTGACGCAACAATATCGGATTATATATAGCACAAATGCACTGAACATTTATTTCAGTATAGAAATGGACCCGTTTTAAAATTGGTTCTTGGTTTATTTGCCGGCCGGTCGTCTTTCACAGAGTGGATCTTCGAATGACTCATTTCCGTTCTGCGACCTAAAGCGGTCGCAGAACGGAAATGAGTCATTCGAAGGTAAGGTTAGTAGAGGCACCTTCCTCAATGCCTATACCTGCGTATTCTGCGAGATTTTTCTCGGACTTTTATCGCTGGTTTACATTCCTAAAGACGTCGTACAGTAGACATATTCAACTATTCAACAACCATGTTAATTTCACTCGATACTGCTAAAGGTGTACAGTGTTGAAGGTTATCAGGTCGGAAATCGTCTACAGACTTCCTGTTCTCTTAACGGTTCATGGATTGTTGCATATGACATTTTTGACAGTACCCTTGTACGGTGATGTATTTCTGGTACCGGATAACGAGCTTCTTCATACCTTCCGAAAAGAAGCTTTTTCTGTTGTCCTCGAAGCCATGTCTCCACCGCTTGCTTGTTTTGGGTACCCAACTCGCACAAACTTTACGGTACCCCAAGTCATCAAGCCGTATGTCTTCTACAGGTCTATAGCTGATGTTCACTATTGCCGCCACTTGTGCTAACGTGATTCGTCAGTCTTCCCTGATCGAGGCATCCACCCACTTTATGTGTTCTTCCGTGCGCGATGTTGATGGCCGACCAGGTCGGTTTTCATCTGTTACACTTGTTCTTTCCCGCTTTAAAGCGTTCTACGCAACCCATATACCTTTCGTTGAATCATAGTTTGTGATCCATACTGTGCCAACATCCGGTAATGGATTTCTGCAGGTTTGACTCCCTCTGCCGACAGAAAGGGCGCTACTGCGCGTTGTTCATCGATGGTGTAATCGCTGGGTGGAGCGCCCATACGTCTGACCTCGTTGTTCCCGGCCACTCAACTGAACGATGGAATGCGGAGCTCAGCTAGCTACCCGTCATCCTATGCGCACATGCGGGTGTCGGGCGTCAGTACCTCCCTGTTGTTTTTACCACGTACTTTCAAAATTGCCTTTATTATGATTTACCGCAGTACATTATTTTATATTGTATTCAAGAATTATAAAGTTCTACTACTTTGGTTACATTGAAATGTCTTTTTCTATTTATTAAAATCAAGTAAAATAAACACATAAGGAACTAGAGTCCTAATTCTTTCCTAAAAATTAAGCAAACCGTGTATTGGCCGAAATCCAAAGGTGTTTCTAAAAACAATTTACTGTCGAATTTTTTTATGGGGGGCAAACAGTGAGGATTGAACTCACAACTTAAAAATAATGGTCAAACATACTGCGGTCGCTAACCATGACACGGGGCGCCGATTAATGGTCAGGTAGGAAAACCTATTAAAAATCTGTGAATAGTAAGACCTATCTTACAATTTCTTAATCTGATGCCAGAATAATAAATAATTGAAGCACTCGTAGAGATCGAAATTATTGTTATTAATCATTTCACCCCAAGTAAGGATTTAAATCCACTAAAATACAAGGGAGTTACTGAATGTTAGAGAAAAATCACTATTAAAGAAAGAGAACAATAAAAGAAAAATAATTAGGACAACTGATAACGATTGACATTGCATTTAAACATTTGAAAATCAAAGTTGACTAAGAAGCAAAAAGCCGGAAAAGAATTCCATAAGAGTGAAGTGCGATAGAAGAAACAGTTAGCAAAGAACTTGCGGTTACATTTGGCTATTTCAACTGTAAAATGATGAGACCTTTGCCGCCAATCTAGAAATACGACTAAATTCTAGGTCCGATAGAGTAAAGTTCTTCAGAACAATTAGCATGAAAGTATTTATAGAAAATGCATAGAAAACCTATATTACGGCGATGGGAAGGTGACTGAAGCCAAGATGTTAGGTCACGACCAATAACGTTGCAAATTCTTCCTTGTATTTCATCAAGAATCTCTAAATATATAGAAGGACCACCGATCCAAACTATATGTGGCAGAGGCAATCACAGTAAGGACGAATGGTAGACTAATAAATATATGATAGATTCTGGCGATAAAAATTATCTAGCACAACATGAAGAGCCTTCTTAGTAGCAGATCTAACAACTGATTTAATATAATCTTTCCACTTTATGTCAGCATAAAACTTTATAAAAAGTACGAATTGGTCACCAAAATTAACTATCACAATGCAGTTAGCTATATATGGTATTTCCCGTTATAGAAGACGAATTTAAAATATGCAAGGAGTATTTAAGGGAAACCTAATACTATTCAATTGATTATTAATCTACACTTATATAGATAAATTGTTGGATGAGGAGTACCTAACCAAGGGTACGCACTCCCAGCAGCTGCGCGACGGAATTTCATGGAGTGCGACGTGTCATCCCTCAGCCAGCCATTAGTGTGCCAGAAAGATCGAATTGATTTGTAGACAAATCAAGCACTTGACATGCAATTTTAATGCAAGACATTGGAATAGTTTCGGTGAACAGGAAGCAAGAACAAAATTCAAGTCATTGAATTTTATGTTCATGCTTGTAACTCATTTTTCTGTTTACAATTTTTATTTTAATTGAAATCTAATTGCTTAATTTTTATTTATTTTGAAATAGAAATACTCAGAAAATGAAAAAAAGAAGGGATGGTCAGTGGTCAGGATTAATGGTTATGATTATTGAAAGTATGAGGCGATCTTATTTTGGATATTTTTTTTTCTTATTTGTCGATAAAACCCAATTTAGTAACAAATGAAAGCGTGCATGAAAAAGTTAAAAAATTACAAAAAAAAACAAAAACAAAAAAAACAAAAAAAAAAAAAAAAAAAAAACAAGCGTATCCTGGACGCACATACAGGAGAGACGGAAACACAGAGATTCCCTTTATAGTGGTCAAAGTGTATGGACACGTAGTGGATTTCTGCATATTTTTTTACATACCTTCTGTTGCTTCATAAAATCCTGTAAAGGTTTCATTATGTTTGGAGCCATTGAGCACTGTGTAGACAAAATGAATAAAGTTGCAATAAAGTCGAAAATACATCTCTCTAAGTTTGGTATTTGTTCGGTTTAGATGGCTACGGTCAGGGGAGATAACTCTTTCTTATTTACCTCTTCTCTTTTTTTTTTCTTTACTAGATTGATTTAGCATTTATTCTCTAGTTTTTTTTTTTTCCTTTATTTTTCATATTCATATAAACTGTAAAAGCCAGAATATCAGGCATACGACATTATATGATCTTGGATGGGAACATTTATTTAATTAATAATACAAAATAGGAAGATATTTATTTATTCGCTAAGAATCATAACGTACGTATATATATATATATATATATATATATATATATATATATATATATATATATATATATATATATAATTAGGAAATACTGCCCAGAAATAAAAATTTAGGGAACTTCAAGAGTGTAATAAATTACTTCATCTCTCGCGTTTCCCTTGTCCCGCCGTATATTTCATGCATCTCTTGAAATCAGTCCATCCATAAATTGTCTTATTTCTACCATTTTTACTGTCTTTGGAGACGCTATGACTTGACGAATGTACCAATAATAATAATAATAATAATAATATTTTAGTAAAGATAAGACAAAGTTCAAAAGACATTTTTAGGGCCGATTTCAAATTTGACACTCGTCAAGTAACAGCGCTGTGTGTGCAAAACTTGAAGTCGGTCCTAAGATAAGTTTTTTGAAGTTTACCATATCTTGACTGTTGTTGATATATTTTTGATACGGAGTACTTTCTTTTCAAGAATTTACTCACACGTTAAATTTTAATAACATACGCCCTTTCGTTTATATAACAAATTTGTCATATTATTATCAATATCATATATATATATATATATGTGTGTGTGTGTGTGTGTGTGTGTGGATCAATTCAGTTATTTCGTAGCCTAACTCTGTTATTAGCTGAATTTTGATTTGAAATGTCCGCAGTACAATAGTTGATCTACGTATTTATGATTCCCTACTGAATTAAATGCTTTGACAAGGAAGGTGTTTTTTTAATTTTCAGGCTACAGATTCAGATTTATAAATGTAGTTATATACGTTTCATTCTCTTTGTCATATATATATATATATATATATATATATATATATATATATATATATGAGAGAGAGTTTATGATGATTGTCATAGCATGTCTTTAACAGCAGCATCCCTTTCTGAAAA